AATAATAATAATAATAATCGGCAGGGATCCCAGACCAATACAATTAGTGTGCCTCCTCTATTTTAAAACCCACGAGCCGCCACTGGATTTTAACAGAGGTGTTTGTGTTGCACATCATAGAAGATAATGCTTCCGTTAATTTTAATTGTTGGAGAAAACTGGTTAATTTTGAGCTTTTTTGCACTATTTTCGTCTTCCCGGATGCAACCAATCAAAAGGCTTATATAAACACCCCTAAATAAGCCTCAATAGTTATTAGAGGTGCAACAGCGCGTTCATATATGTTTTCGATGCAGAGTGCAAATGCAAATGGTTGTGAGTTTATTAGTGTTTTTAACTCAATGGGGTTGAAATGAAACTGTGAAACAAACCAAAGCTGTGTTGCCCGTCTCCACTCTTCCCCTTCCACTCTGCAGCGCACCACCCCCACTTTTGTAGCATTTTTCAAAATTGTGGTGAGAACTAACTGGTGCTGAAACAGGGGGTTTCATGCCCCTTTAAGTTTCTCTGGTTCTTCAAAGACCTTGTTTTTTCAGGGACTCCAACTAAAGACCCCATCGCTGTTGGGAACGTAACGAAGCACCAGGCACACTCAATTTTCAAGTCGTTCATCTTTGTTATTATTTCACACGACACTCTGCAGCACTCTCTCCTGTCTATTTTTTTTCCATCTGATCTTCTAAAGGATTGAGGGCATTTGTCCAGAGATTGTTTCTAGAAACTTTGCTGGCTTATGTTCCGATGTTTGACTTGTCTCCTCTGAACGTTGTGTATCTTTGAGTTCTCATCCTCACACGCTGTTCTCGTGAAACGTATATATCAAAACTCCTCAGTTTCCTCCCATGTGTACGTTGCTCTTAAGAACACCAAATAAAACTCTTCCGGTTTCTCTTGTCACAGTTTTGAAATACGAGCGTTTAAAGTTGCATTTCTCACTATGTGTCGACCTGACATCTGCATTCATTCACACTATAGCCTAAGTATTTGTTGCTCACCGACTTCCCCGGTCCAGATGGTGAGTTCTGAGTGGCCGTGAAACACAAACCCTGCAATTTTAATGCCAGAGGACTGCTAGAAACCCCCTTAATGGAAATCATCGACTGGACCTGTATGGCCCATTACTCACTTTCTAGAGGGGGTTAAAAAGTCCATCTTGTAACATGGCTGCAGCGCCACGCTCCACCAGTGCGAATGGCCTCCGGGAGCAGAGCGACTTCCCTCGAGATGGGAAAAACACTCCATTGTCTGGTGTTCAGTTGTGATGAGGTGTGTGAATAGTGAACCTAGGTGGGTGCCAACACAATGGCAGAGAGTCATCGCACAGAGCCTGGTTTGACTCATTTGTCCATCTCATATTCTTTTCCAGAAAGTTGCTTTTGTTCGTGAGTGCAAAATGATTAGTCCTTGAGTTACAATGGTGCTAGTTGTTCTCTTACATTTCATGCATTGGATGCGTTGTCAAAGACATCAGTCTTTTGGGAATTGCATCAGATATGCTGGAGGCTTTTTTTTTCACTTCTAAGTATAGACTGGAAGTCATAGTTGCTATTTTTTATTGTTGTTCACCTTTGCCATCTGTCAGGTATCATTTCAAAGTCACATGCTGTATATTTGAAAAAAAAAAAAAAACTAAAAACTGTAGTTTGTCACTATTACTTAGCCTGTGCATATTTATATATTGAAAAAAATGTCTGTCATTTTTTTTACTTCTAGCCTGTACTATACTCTTGCTACTGCGACCTTGCTTCGCGTTTTTGTATTTCTCATTCGTCAGTTGCTTTTCATAAAACTATAGATGATTTTGTCATTGTGGCTGTTAATACTAGAGCCCGACCGATATATCGTTTTGCCGATATTATCGGCCGATATGAGCCTGTCGCCGATATATCGGTTGATAGCCCCTGGGCTTCGGGAGTTACGGGTGGTTAAATTCGCGGTCCGGCGCCGACCGATCTAGCGATTCCGGGGGGCTACCGACGCGCGGAGGGTGGCGTTCGAGAGGACTCCTCGAGCTGAAGGGATCCCCCAAATTTGGTGGAGATCCGCTGGCGCGTTTGCGAGATAGGTGACACCAGTCAACACTTTCCCTTCAGTAAGGAGGTCTCTTGTTCATTCACGCGTTGTCTTATTCGACCGTAAGTGCCCTGCGAAGTGGACTTCACATGAAATTCCGCCATGATTCCAGTTCCAAGGGAACGTACACACATGGGGTTCAGAATATATATATTTTTTATCCATAGTAATTTTACACTTGTCTAGTACATATGTCGCTTTGTTTCATAATTACAGTGTATACGTTTTTCTTTATTTACCCTCAAAAAATGGAAGTGAATTGTGACAACATGCCCCGTAGGTGGAACACATTGTAACATCTGAGGGGCACGTTGTAACTTGACCATATGACAGCTTAAAATCTTATATGATCAAATTAATATATATATATTTATTTTTATTTTATTTTTTTCAAATAAAAGAATGGCGTTTTTTAAGAATTAAAAATAATCTGATTTTGGAGTTTGACAATGAACACATTGCAACCATGCTTGGGACGGCCCATATAAATGAGCAAAAATGCTTTACATGTCTTGAAATAATAATTTCTAAACATTAAACATTGACTGTCAGTGTTTATTCACCTGTTTCTTGTTGTTTCTCATAAAAATTCATTAAAGTAAATAGTGTAAATTACATCGCTAATGTCATAGAATAGCACATTGTAACGTTACAACGTGCCCCATCTGCGCAACTGGAGTTTAAAACCAGTTGCTGTCTTCTGCTAGTTAGAGAAGCCCATCATTACATATCTCTGTCACGTCATTATAAGTGTTTGATCACCACATTTGAGTGATCATTGCAAAAAATGTGTTTATGTATATATATTCTGTATATGAATATACTGTATTCTATATATAGTACCAGTCAAATGTTTGGACACACGAATGGGAAAGTGTCCAAACTGTTGACTGGTACCATACTATAATATACACAAAGAATATCGGCCGATATATCGGTATCGGCCTTTTTTTATTCCCTAATATCGGTATCGGTATCGGCCCCAAAAAACCCATATCGGTCGGGCTCTAGTTAATACCCACTCGCCAAGTGAACCAACACCCTTTGGTTCTCCAATGATTGTCGAACTGTTATGATTAGGCAAACTGAAAATCAGGAAATATTAAATTGTGAGCTGTAGAACTGTCCAATTAAAATTCCATCTGCGTATTTAAGATAAAAATGCAAATAAGAATGCAAAAACTGTGCATTCAAATTTAAGATGTGTAGCAAGCACTAGCAACCATTTTTATTAAAACATACTGTTGATTAAAAATTTAGAAGGACAGTTCTAGTATTTCCTTCTAGTATAATTTCTAGTATAATTCTAGTTCTAGTATAATCCAATAATAGTCAATATTGTAATTGCACCACTTACTGAACACCGGTAAACTGAAGTGCTTTACTAGCAGTTTAATTAATTCCTCCAAACTGATCCTGTACCCTTAAGAAGTTAATTAGACAAATACACAACATAAACATAATATTACAACTTGTTTCTGCACAAAATGATACAAATGCATCATGAAGCTAACTGTGCTCATGGAAAGTCACATTGTGAAAGAAAGAAACACACTGAAATGTTAATCACTGAAGCATTAAATAAATCATTATTACAGTAGTGTGCTCTTTTAGTAACATTAGTATTTCATGAGATCAGGGTTTCAAAACGAGCAGTTTTCTGTTTTTTTGTTGATTTATGTTTGAATTAATTCTATATAAAATATGTGAATATTTGGTTTATTTTGTAATGCCCATCAATTAAAATAATATTCAGTGTAATATACCTATAACATTAAATGCTATTTGGGTCAAAATAAAGTTGATTAAAGTGAATAAATACTGAAAAATATTGACTAAATTTAAAGGATGTTTTCGTCAAAAGACAAACTAGGACTAAATAATGGTGTGAATATTAACACTGGACCTGGCCTGAGAATTTGATTTAATAATTGTAGTCATTTTAGTTTAAAAATAAATGCACTTTAACAGCCATATTTGTTCTTTGAGGTAACCAATATAACTCAGTCATTTTTTTTTTTGCGCCATCTTGTGGACTTCTCATTTCAAAATTTGGTGTTCAATTGTGTTTTAATCTAACTGAAATGTCCTTTTTTTTTAATTTGGACATCATTAAAATATTTCAGTGAAAAATTCAAATTTAGTTTCTCAGCCCTATATTGATGGCCCTCGTGGGATTCCTTTGCAGTTGTGGTCGCTTCATATTTCTGCTCATTTAGATGAAAAGATTGACCTCTGTTTAACTTTGCAGGATCATCAATGGTCACTATCGCTCCGATGGCTGCAGAAGGTTGACTCTCATTTAAAATGATTGACTTCTGGTCATTTTGATGATAGAAATGGCTATTACTGTGAAGGAAATCACTCCTAGTGAAATGAAGCCTGCAGTTGTGTGAAGATGTTGCCCCTTGTAAAGTGTGTCGGTCCTGTTGCCTGCACTCTCAGCGTGTCTCAGTGGCATTTCCCCTGACTGCCCTGCTCCGCTTCCTGTTGTTGAATTTTTTCGCTCTCCTCAGCTTCAGAAAGCGCAGCCTTTGAGCCGTGTTTTATCACGAACAATAGTGACTGTTGGCAAATTTGGAATGCAAATTACTTTTATACTATGCAGTCTTCATGCATTCTTTTGCATTGATTTTTCTAATAAACAACATGTGTGCAAATTTCACATTATTCTGTATGTCATGTAATTCTCATAAATTATATATACCAAGTAATTAATCTCGATGGGTAAATGTTTTCTGCAAATGTGATTTAAGCAACTGACTTTATTATCTGTATTTCCAGAGTAGAAGTTAAGATATTCCAGATCAGTTCCATCCGGACTCCATTTATAGTCGAGATTTTATCAAAACTCTCTGTTCTGTATCACTCAGTCTGTCTTCATAGCTTCAGAAATCCATTTCCTATTTCTTAGTCCTTTGGCAGCGTTAATATTTTCTTTAAAACACATTTGGCTCAAGTCAAAACATCAGAGCTGTCATAGATGAAGCAACATCAGTCATGAGGTTATTCATTATGCATTGCTTTGCCAACAGAGTACTGGCTCTAATTGAGCTTAATTTCAGATCAGGTCAATCTTTAAAAGTTAGAAGTGCTTGTGTGTACTACTTTTTTAAATTACCATATTACTCTTGCTAATTAATCAGCAGTGGGAAAAGTGATGTAATGTTTAGACGACATGTCTATCCCCAATAAGTTGCCAAGCAGATAGCCTCAGATCTTAATGTGAATTCCTATCCAGCACTTTTTTTCTTTTTAGTTTTTCATGCGTTTTCTTGAATTCCAGTGATAACATCAGTGGGTTTTGAGCCTTATCTTGCATGTTCAAAAAGATCTTACCACAAAGAATCTTTAAAAAAACAAAACAATTCTACTTCAAAACTTGAAATAAGTTAATATCTGAAGCTGAATTTTATTTTATTTTATGAACTTTTTTATTTGAAATTTTATTTTGTTTCAACTTTTCAAAGATCATTTCATACCTAGCACAAATGGTGTGGTTTAAATGCCAAAGTTTTAAACTTGGGGTTAGGAGAGTGAATAAATACCCAAACCCAATATAAGCAAAATTTACAGTAATGCTTAACTAAAGTGTTGTGGGAAATATTTGAGTTTGTCAATCAAGTCAAACAAAAAACCTCTGACAACATGACCTAAACTTTGAACATCTGTCAGTACACAAAAGAATAGGTTGATTATTAACTAATTTATCCAAATAAAGCAGATATATAGTGCATTGCTGTCAAGTATATGATGATTTGCTGGTAAATTTCGTCATGACAGCATGACCTTGAGGGCCGTTGAGTGGTGGGTCAAATGAGTCTTGGTTGTTCTTCACGGCTGTGAACATCCCAGCTGGCCCGTCATTCTTCTTCTGGCCACTCACTTCACTTTCCTGTCACATGTCTGTCCATTTCATCCACTAAAAGTCATTCTAGACCGTGAGCAGTGAGCTCTGACATGAGCAGCGCTGAGCCGTCAATCACGTAATCTGCCACCATCTGCGTTTTCTGCCCCGCTGCAACAGTCGCTGCCCTAGAGAAACAGCTTCCCCTCTTTCAACAGACCTCTCTGTCTTTGAGTTGAGTGGAGGAGGATTGTGAGGAGACAGAAAACAAGACAGTGTGTGTCCGTCAGCAGCTTTCGTCAGAGCATGAAATCAAAATCGACCATATTTACTATAATCTACTGTGCAAATTTCATCATTACTTGTTATAATTCTTTCGTCAAAATGCATTAACTTTCTTACATTTCTGCTGACATTACCAAGGCTTCATGGTCTGGGAAAAATTATATTAAGCAATAAAGTCAAATCCTGCCCTACATTCTTATAATTCAGTTTTCATATAATTAGTGAAACTGAATATTGTTTCACACAAATATGTCACGTTACAGAAGATAAATGCTTTTTGAATGGAGTTTCACATATTTTTACCCATGTTTAAATGCATCACACAGATTTGGGTCTGTTATTATTGCTGCTAATGATCCATTGATTTTCATAAAAAAATCACTCATTCTCGATCTGATGGAAAGCAAACCTTGGACACAATTACTTCTCATATGTCTCTGACTGTTTGTTTGTTTCTCAAGGTAATGTGGGCGGAACAGCAGGTGGTGAAACAAAGAAAGAAGAGGGATATTTACTATGAGCCGGCCGATCCGAAGTTTGCACAGCAGTGGTACTTGGTGAGTAAATAGCTCATCTGTTTGTTTGTGCGCACGTGTGTGTCCGCAAACTGTTTGTTCATTTGCAAGCACGATACCTCCCGCTCAGATCGAATGGTCTGGGTGGGCTGTTGTAATGTTCTGTTTGGATCCATAGGACTCCAAGTAGGACCTTTTGCCCCTATTAAATGGGACATTGTGTAACCGTGAACTTGCTGCCATTATGATCATCCGGTGGAGCTTAAATTTTAATCATCCGGTTGTGATTTGGCTCTTCGGAAACATTCCTGACGTTCTGGCCTTCATTCTCCATCAGTCTTTATACATACCCTCTCCTGAGATGATAGTCCTTCTGTGTCACTATTTTAAAGTGGTCATATTCGTTTAAAATAATTTACTAATGACTGTTTATATGCAAATTCAATTCACTGCAATATTAGATTTTGAATGTACTGTTTATGTATATTTAGTTTAAACTGCCGTTTAATAAATACACATTTGCATGAGAAATGAGCAGCATGTGGTGTCAACACTACCAAAATACCAATAAAATATGAAGCAAGCAATGCTGGGAAAGCAGCTGAGTCAGCTGACTAAAGACGTGCATGATTACCTGTTTGTTACTTGAAAAGACAATAAGGAGAAGAAGTGTCCCAATTCTGTCTTGCTTAAATATTAGCCACATTTTCCAATAACTAGAAATCTCTGGATGAGAGTATGTGCACAAACATCTCTCTCTTAAATATCTTTAAAGTATTTTTGAGTCTTGAATATAATCTGTTTGAAAGATATGGTATTTATCTTTCTATTGTTATTCAACCTCTTTTAATTGGATATAAATTTCATTTGATTGCCCCAATCTTTTTTTCCCCAATTTAGGTGTTTACAGCGGGTTTTTTTTACATATTGAGCTAATATTCAGTTTAATGGATTCTTAGGCTGCATGTAATTGTAGATAAAGTAGGCAAGTTTCTGTCTGACAAGGTTGGAAAACTATGATTCAAGATGATGGATGTAGAATGCCTAGGCCTATATATCAGCTCTGATACTCAAATATCGACTGTCAGGCTACAGACAATATTTTACAATTATGTGTCATTCCTTCCTCACAGTCTCCTGTTATATTGATACTTTTACTATTATTAAGACTATTGAATTAACATGCACTTTTTAAAGACTTCATGATTACTTATAATTTACAGGTCTGTTTTCAAGGCCAGCAAAGAATGAATGAATTAATTTATTTATTTAATATATTTATAAAATGAAATAAAAATGTATTTATATTTATTGATTGAACTAGTTATTAAGAATCCCCCCATCCCTCATATATCTCATTTATGGCAATCTTGCAGAGTAATGTGAATCTTGTGTTAAGTCATTGCTCAGTCATTTTGCATTCAGCGGTGATTCACCAGACCTGGACGTTTTGTTCCAGCTAATGAACCAAGGAGACAATAGATGCTTTTTCTCATAGTTTGGGAAATGTCAATGTCATGACTGAGCTCCAATCCTTCTCAACGCAGGGCTCCAGACAAAAAAATCGAGTAAGGAGCCATTGGGCTCCTATAAGAAAAAAACGTAGGCGCCAAATAGACAGAATAAACGTGTTTTATTTATTTTATTATTATTTTAATTATTTTTTTTACATTTTAACATTTCAATCATACTGTCATGTGCTTATGTCAGCATTTTAATCCATCTTGTAGATGACCTGAGAACTAAGGTTCACTTAAAGTGGGAACTAAATGTCTTTTCCAACTTGAAATATACAGTCAGAAAGAATTGTTCATTAAACAGAATCTGTACCAATCATGGACCATAAGCATTACTTGGCCACTGAGTGTAGTTTGGGCTCCTCCTAAATGCATCCTGTAAATGTTGTCATACACTCTTAAAAATAAAGGTGCTTCATGATGCCATAGAAGAACCTTTTTTGTCTAAATGGTTTCATAAAGAACCTTTAACATCTTGAAGAAACTTTACGTTTCACAAAAGGTTCTTTGTGGCGAAAGAAGGTTCTTTAGATTATAAAAAGTTGAGAAAGAGATGGTTCTTTTAAGAACCTTTGACTGAATTATTCTTTGTGGAACCAAAAATGGTTCTTCTGTGGCATCGCTGTGAAGAACCTTTTTAATCACCTTTATTTTTAAGGCCCAATCTCAATTCTACCCCTTAGCCCTTCCCCTTTCCGAAGGGTTAGGGGTGTCTCAATTCTCTTTTGGTTGGAGGGGTAGGGGAAGGGGAAAAACTAAGATTTTTCGGGACCACACTTCAAACGAAGGGGTATGAATTATCTCAGCGTAAACCGGCTTCAGGGGCAACATGGCTGCCCGAGCGAACAAAAAGACATATAAATGTAAGCATTTTTGCCATTAATAAAGATTTTAACGAACAGTAATCATTTGTTTTATGTTACATTCAATCGTGAGTTTATATTTACGGTCATGTTACTCAAAGAAATGTTTGCAAAAAATCGCTAATATTTGCTAACTAATGTCATATCATTATAGACTGCACGATAGTGCCACAACATATATTCATGTCTGATCAGGGCGATAACCACCGTAGACATTGAGGGGGGCTAGTCCCCCCAATAATTGTAAATCGCTAAACCCTTTTCTCAAATATTGCCAATTGGAGAGCGAGAGAGAGGGCGATAAGGAGCCATTGGGCTCCTATAAGAAAAAAACGTAGGCGCCAAATAGACAGAATAAACGTGTTTTATTTATTTTATTATTATTTTAATTATTTTTTTTACATTTTAACATTTCAATCATACTGTCATGTGCTTATGTCAGCATTTTAATCCATCTTGTAGATGACCTGAGAACTAAGGTTCACTTAAAGTGGGAACTAAATGTCTTTTCCAACTTGAAATATACAGTCAGAAAGAATTGTTCATTAAACAGAATCTGTACCAATCATGGACCATAAGCATTACTTGGCCACTGAGTGTAGTTTGGGCTCCTCCTAAATGCATCCTGTAAATGTTGTCATACACTCTTAAAAATAAAGGTGCTTCATGATGCCATAGAAGAACCTTTTTTGTCTAAATGGTTTCATAAAGAACCTTTAACATCTTGAAGAAACTTTACGTTTCACAAAAGGTTCTTTGTGGCGAAAGAAGGTTCTTTAGATTATAAAAAGTTGAGAAAGAGATGGTTCTTTTAAGAACCTTTGACTGAATTATTCTTTGTGGAACCAAAAATGGTTCTTCTGTGGCATCGCTGTGAAGAACCTTTTTAATCACCTTTATTTTTAAGGCCCAATCTCAATTCTACCCCTTAGCCCTTCCCCTTTCCGAAGGGTTAGGGGTGTCTCAATTCTCTTTTGGTTGGAGGGGTAGGGGAAGGGGAAAAACTAAGATTTTTCGGGACTACACTTCAAACGAAGGGGTATGAATTATCTCAGCGTAAACCGGCTTCAGGGGCAACATGGCTGCCCGAGCGAACAAAAAGACATATAAATGTAAGCATTTTTGCCATTAATAAAGATTTTAACGAACAGTAATCATTTGTTTTATGTTACATTCAATCGTGAGTTTATATTTACGGTCATGTTACTCAAAGAAATGTTTGCAAAAAATCGCTAATATTTGCTAACTAATGTCATATCATTATAGACTGCACGATAGTGCCACAACATTATTCATGTCTGATCAGGGCGATAACCACCTTAGACATTGAGGGGGGCTAGTCCCCCCCAAGTCCTCCACCGCTGTGTGTGAGAGAGAGAGAGATTCTATAAAACAGAATTGGGATTGGGCCTAAGAGTGTATGTCTTTCACACTTTCAGTCTGTTTTTCTTAATTAGTAAAATGCAATTTTATAGGAGGAGCTGAATCATGTAGACAACAGGTTAAGTAAAAATATTGATATGCAATAGCACATAAATATAGCAAAATGCTCCTCTTTATAGTTATTTTTCTAGCTGACTGATGAGCTTATGGACACCAAATGGTTATTTTGAGGTATTACGCTATACACGTTTTCAGCAGTTTGAAACAGTTCAGTAAGTTGTACTGTAGGCTGTCTTATAAAATAGCCTACCTTTTGATGTTAATTCATGTTCATTATGTACTATAATAAGAGAAGGATTAAATGGGTTCACTTGCCGCTTGAACTGAGGCGCTAAAACGATCGCGCCTGCCCCATTAAAGAGCGCCAAAACTGTATTTATTGTTTGAATTTCGTTATGAATTTGGAATCATTTTAAAGCTGGTACTTTGTTTATTAAAAAGTAACAAAGCACAAAGCTTTTTGCGATTACTGGATGGCAATGCGCTTCAAATAATATGAAGTTCACGCATTAAAAGAACACAACATAGACTAAGATCTTGATAAGAAGAAGCCATATTATTAATGATTCTAAACGAGAATTGTTAATGATATTGCCAATATCCACACAGCTGACAGCTTTACCTGTTGTAGTTTGTTGAAGTTGTGCACGCTGCTTTTCTGCACTTTCACTTCGCACGTCTCTGTCATTTCGATCTCTCTCGCGCTGCACAACTGAGCTGCGTTTAGCAGGTGTGCGTCAGCGCTGCAGAGATGAGGACTGTTTAAGACTTTGATGAAACTTTGTTGCGCATCGTCTCAGTTTAATACGCGAACATAACAAAAGATGTGATCGCAAAACAATCAGGAAAAAATGCATTACATGCAAACTTTCAAGTTATAACATGTAAATATATATAGTCGCCAGTCCAGTCCTCAGCAAATACTAATTAATATTTTTGGTCGCAAATGCGATCGTTTTAGTCGCAGTCTGGAGCCCTGCAACGCATTATTCCCCTCTTCACGGCAGCGTTATCAATGAAGTTTAACAGTACAACGGATAGAAGCCACTCAATAACATTTCCGCAGAATGGAATGCAGAGAAAGTTTCACCGCAAATGCAACAGTCATCACCAGCAGCAATTTATCAACCTCACCACCATTATTACTGGAACTTTGAGGTGAGATTGCATCATTTTGCCTGATGTAGGCTTAAGAAATAAACTCAGTTCTCTTCGTTTGACTTGCAATACCAGGATAAGCAGGAGAGTGTATCATTTTTGGGGTCATCAGAACTGACAGCACCTTACTGGCTTCAACTTCTCCCTGCGACCTCCCTGGGGAAGAGAGCAGTGACGCTGCTACCAAGAGGAAAGTCAAGGAGCCATGCAGCGAAATAAATTCAATTTTCTGCTCAGATAAACTCAGGTGGCCACGTTCATTTCTGCACTGGAGTGACATGCGTGTGGAGTGGGGAGAGGTCAGATCTCTGAGGTCTGACAGTGGGTGGGTGGACGGTCACCCTGACAGCGCTTCTCACTCGGCTGCTTGTCATTTCTCAAGATGTTTGTGTGTTTGTTTTTGTGTTACAGTCATCTTATTGCTCACCAAGGCTCCAAAAATACAGTAAAAAATGGTAATATCGTGAAATATTATTACAATTTAAAATATTTTTAAGTATTTAACCATGCAATCATTACTCCAGTCTTCAGTGTCACATGATCCGTTAGAAATCATTCTAATATGCTGATTTGATGCTCAAGAAAAAATGATCAATGTTGAAAACTCTTATTCTCACCCAGGTTGCATTTATTTGATAAAAAAATACAGTAAAAACAGTATTTTTTATTTTTCTCACAAAATATTAAGCAGCAAAAGCTGTTTTCAACTGTGATAAAAAGAAATAAGAAATCTTGAGCACCGCATGAGCATATTAGAATGATTTAATGTCAATGGCTGCTGAAAATTGACATCACAGGAATTAATTACCTTTTAAAAATATATTGTATTAAAATGGTTATTTTAAATTGTAATAATATTTCACAATATTACTATTTGTACTGTATTTTTGATCAAACAAATGCAGTTTTGTTCATTTAAGATACTACTTGATTAATTGAAGATACTAAAACTTTGAAAACATCTTAATTATGACTGGTAATGTATATATATTTTTTATTTATTTAAAAAAATATTTTGGGACAATTCTGTTATTAAATTATTTATTTAAACGATTTTCCCTCTTTTTCACACACACACACACACACACACACACACACACAAAAAAAAAACCTAGCATCAATGCAAAAACTGCTTTATATTTGTTATATTAGCTTAGGTGTGAAAATAACATAAAATTGTGTAACATAAAACCAATATAAACAGTACAGTGGAAGCTCTACTATCAACATATCAAGAGGACAGAAGGCAAACCAGAAACTCCATACCTGGGGTTACAGTACAATATGTGACTGCTATAACCTAGACAGGAAATCGTGAAGGCATATACTAGAGTTTCAGCATCTTTCATGCCTAGAACAGGAGGCCATGCGGTATTGAGGTAATGGCAGACTGCAGCCTTGAATCAGAGAGCTGATGTGAGCTTCAAAAGTGAAAGATGATCCTCAAAACATGACCCTCAAACAAATGTTGATGTTCTGCATCAGCGGAGTAGTTAGCAGAAGGGAAGTGGCTTCTATGCTGATCTGTTCTTTCTCTTATTCTCCATTCAGTACAATGAAGATCGTCGTGACCTCAATGTGAAGGAAGCCTGGAAGCAGGGTTTCACTGGACAAGGCGTCGTCGTGTCCATATTGGATGATGGAATTGAAAAAAAACACCCAGATCTGATTCAGAACTATGTGAGTTTGAGTAAATGACTATTACCTTTGCCATAAAACCCAAAACAAAATAATTTCATTAAATGTTCCTTATATATATATTTGCAGGATCCAGATGCTAGCTATGATGTCAATGATGGCGACCCAGACCCTCAACCTCGATACACCCAACTCAATGATAACAGGTACTCTATGCATCATTTACTGTAATTTGCTTAATAGAATCAAACCTAGTTTAGGTCCCCTTAGCAAACCCAGTGATTTATGGGCCGTTGCAGCTCAAACTGTTATTTGTTTTTCCCATCTTAGCCAGCACTGTATTTTGTGCCTAGGCATGAAACTTCTGGCATAAAACCAGCTGAAGTATGAATACTACTATACATTTACTGCTTTACTTAAAGGGGCCAAAGGTTTCCCCTGCGGAGTGGAGATGGGCGCAGGAATACACGGCCTGTAATATAGTGTGATTAGTGCCGTTGCAGTAGTCCATTTGTGTTGGACAGGACTTTTGTGCTTTTACTAATGAGGTTTTTGCCTACCCAGTGAGCAAACGGTAGTGCTATCATTTTCAGAATCACGATCTGCAATTATGATTTTCGTTCATCATTCATTTTTACAAATTTAATGGTGTTACACACAGTCACACTTGGCCAGATGCAGTTTACTATGTAAATGAGTTAATACCAATTTTCGAACAAAAATGCTGTAGTTTATAAGAATTTACTCCGCAAAGATGCAAAAAATGCAACAAAAGAAGTTACTTGATATATATTGTGGGACATTCATTGACCATTCACACTGACTGCGATTGAAATGTACCGTAGCTGGTGTTCTTACTCGACTGCAGCTATTTTCTTTTCACGTATATCCTACAGTAGGGTCATATCTTCCAGCCGAAAACATATTTTTACAGTAAATTAAATTCATTAATATGTAATACTGTAGTATGCAGGTTGTAGCAGTAGGCAGCAGCTTTCTCTGGCTGTTTTTTTGTGTTGTGTGTTCTGCTGGGAAATTAGTTTCTCTGTGATTGATGTGTTGTGAATTTAGTTCTCTCCATGGATTTTGGTTTGTTGTCTTGGTAATGGCCATCCACAACACTGGCCATTTTTATGGCCTACTTCATATAAATCAACAAGGAATTAGGTTGAATTGTAAAGAAAAAATGATGCTGTTGAGAGCGAGATACTTCAAAGCTATACTTCACCCAAAAATTACGATTCTGTCATTGTCATGTCATTCCAAAACTTTTTTTCCCTGTAGAATACGATAAAGAATTTAAAAAGAATCTTCACATAGATGCAGTTAATAGTGACCTCAGGCTGTCAAGCTCCAAAAAACACTATAAAATTACTCCATACAACTTGAGCGCTATATTCCAGGTCTTCTGTAGCCATATTAGAGCTTTGTGACAAACCAAAAATAACAAAATTATTCATTGATATTTTCACCTCCACTACAGCTCTCAACTTTTACATTATTTTTTGTAATTGATGTCCAACTTGCACCATATTTTTTATATATTATTTATTTATTATTTTTTATTTTTTTATATATTTATACATATTATTTGAGAGCTGCAGCGGAGATTCAGGTAATGGCTGAATTAAGACTTAGACTATATATACCGTACAAGTTTCTGGTGTTTATCAAGGCTGCATTTGTTTGACCCCAAACTTTTCAATGGTAACTTTTGCAGTTAATAGTGACCTCAGGCTGTCAAGCTCCAAAAAACACTATAAAATTACTCCATACAACTTGAGCGCTATATTCCAGGTCTTCGTGAGCCATATTAGAGCTTTGTGACAAACCAAAAATAACAAAATTATTCATTGATATTTTCACCTCCACTATAGCTCTCAACTTTTACATTATTTTTTGTAATTGATGTCCAACTTGCACCATATTTTTGACTGCTTTTATTGTCCTCATTTGTAAGTCGCTTTGGATAAAAGCGTCTGCTAAATGACTAAATAAATAAATAAAATAAATAAATAAACTTTTGATTATCACCCAAAGTTAAGATATATGGCTTTTTCATGCTTTCATAGTGTTTTTTTGATCCAGCCTGTGGTCACTATGAACTTGTGGTCTTTGTATTGAAAAGATCTATGATGATTGTTTAAACATGGTATTTTTTTGTGTTCCATAGAATAAATAACAGCGTAAAATTTTGAGTGACATGAAGGTTAGCAAATGATGACAGAACGGTTATTTCTTTGGGTGAAGTATTCCTTTATACGTTCAGATGCGTTCATTACCACCCTTCCAAACTGAATCAAACCCATCAACTTTTACAAAACAAGACAATTTTTTGGCTACCAATCACAGCTAAACTCTGTTGTCAAGTCAAGTCACCTTTATTTATATAGTGCTTTATACAATACAGATTGTGTCAAAGCATCTTTACAGTGTAAAACAGGAAAAATGTGTGCTGATAATGCAGGAGGACAATAGAAAACAGTCAGTTTATCAGTTAATGTTGGTTCATCGTTGGTTCAGTGATGCCATCATCCAGCTCAGTTCAGTTCTCTTCCAATAGTGTCTGTGCAGTCAAGTCAATGTTGCCAGAAATTGTGTCCCCAAATAAGCAAACCAAAGGCGACAGTGGCAAGGAACCAAAACTCCATCGGTGACAGAAATTGAGAAAAAAGCCTTGGGAGAAACCAGGCTCAGTCAGGGGGCCAGTTCTTCTCTAGCCAGATGAAACCAACATGATGGGGTTTAATTCCAGACTGCAACACACGTCAGATTGAGCAGAGGACTTGTCTGGCTTTCGTGGTCTTGTGCCGATGGTCTGGTGGTCTTCACAGGGGATCTGTCTCTAGGTTTTGTCTAGTTGACCTGTTCTCCTCTGACAATCAGGGATGTAGAGGTCGTCTCTAGGTGCTGATCCACCATCTGGACTGGATACAGACTGGATCTGGGTGACTACAGTGATCATCTGATCTGGATACGGACTGTATCTGGGTGGCTACAGTGACCTCGGAATAAGAATAAAATAGAATAATATTAGCATAGATGCCATTCTTTATGATGTAACAAGCATCGGGTGTTATGGGAAGTGTTCCCGGTTCCGGTTGACCTCATTAATGCAGCCTAACAATCCTTTAACAGATTTATAGACAGATATAGAAAAGTGGTAATGTGTTATGTGTATGCCAGGTTAAAGAGATGGGTCTTTATCTAGATTTAAACTGACAGAGTGTGTGTCTGCCTCCCGAACAACGTTAGGTAGATTGTTCCAGAGTTTGGGCGCTAAATAGGAAAAGGATCTGCCGCCCGCAGTTGATTTTGATATTCTAGGTATTATCAAATGGCCAGAGTTTTGAGATCGCAGTGGATGTGAAGGACTATAATGCGATAAGATCTCGCTCAAGTACTGAGGAGCTAAACCATTCAGGGCTTTATAAGTAATTTGCAAGAATGTATACGATGTATACATTCTTGCTAATTATTTAAGAATGCATTAAAATGTATACGATGTTTAATAGGGAGCCAGTGCAGGTTGACAGAACTGGGAAAATATGGTCATACTTCCTGGTTCTAGTAAGAACTCAAGCTGCTGCATTTTGGACCAGCTGGAGTTTGTTTATTAAGCGCGCAGAGCAACCACCCAATAAAGCATTACAATAATCTAACTAATGCATGAATTAACGTTTCTGCATTTGACATTGAAATTTAGATATAGTAGATAATTTAGATATATTTTTAAGATGGAAAATGCAGTTTTACAAATGCTAGAAATGTGACTTTCAAAAGAAAGATTGCTATCAAATAGCACACAGAGGTTCCTAACTGATGATGAAGAATTGACAGCACAGCCATCATGTGTTAGACAGTGTTCTGGATTATTACATGTGGAGGTTTTTGTTCTGATAATTAACACCTATGTTTTTTCAGAATTTAGCAGTAGGAAATTAATAGTCATCCATTTTTCTACACATTCTGTTAGTTTTGCAAAATGGTATGTTTTTCATCAGACCGCGAAGAAATATAGAGCTGAGTGTCATCAGCATAACAGTGAAAGCTAACACCATGTTTCCTGATGATGTTTCCCAAGGGTAGCATTTAAAGTGTGAAATGAAATGGTCCCAGTACTGAGCCTTGCGGTACTACATACTGCACTTGTGAACGATATGATACTTCTTCATTCACTACATTCATCTACGAATTTCATTCATCTACGAATTGATGACGGTCAGATAAGAATTATTTGAACCATGCCAATGCAATTCCAACAACAATTGTGGAATTGTTTCTCAGGGAATCTATAGTGCACTGTCTGATGCAATACTGTAGCTGACTGCTGCATGGTTATAATTTCCTCTGTAATACTATCAATCTTGGAAGTAAAGAAGTTCAAGTTCACAATTTTCTATGAGACCTATGTTATTCTGTGGGCACCACTTAGACATCCAGCCATTGAGTGACGACAGTCTGCTATGTATCTCATCACCACGGTAAGCAGGGAGGGGACCAGAGCATATTACTGTCTGATATCGTACTTGCAAGTTCACAAACCTCTTTAATGTTATGTTTAGTGATCTCTGGCTGGTGAAGTCGAACATCATTAGTGCCGACGTGAATAACAATCTTACTGAATTTACATTAGCATTAGCCAGCACTTTTAAATTTGCCAAGATGTCAGGCACTCTGGTTCCCGGTAAACATTGGACTATGGTGGCTGGTGTCTCTATTTTCACGTTCCGTACAATATAATCGCCAATAACTAGGGCACTTTCATCAGCTTTCTCAGTGGGTGCGTCATTGGGAGAACCTGTTTAATGTTTTGATCAGAACGGAAGAGCAGTGTTTGTCCCGTGACTGTGCCGCCTCACAGTCACCCTGCTGTGGGGACTCTGCAACCGGAAACAAACAATATACGGGACACTCTAAGCTAGTCACATCCCAAGCCATATCTAAGGCCCTCACATTCTTACTATTCTCAATTAAAGTTTGGATGCATGTCTTTAGTTCTGAAATCTTCTCTGTCAGCCTTACTGTTTCCCTGCATTTATCATATGTGAATCCCTCGGCACTGACAGAGAAAGCTACACTATACATGTGGCAAGCAGTGCAAGTGACAATAACAGGAGAAGCCATTAAGTCAAGTCAAGTCACCTTTATTTATATAGCATCAGGGCAGTTATTTGAGATTTGACTTACTAGTCATACTCCAACA